TTTTTAGAATAAATTAATTAATTAATTAACTAACTAACTAACTAACTAACTAACTAACTAACTAACTAACTAACAACGAACGAACGAACGAACGAACGAACGAACGAACGAACTAACGAACGAACGAACGAACGAACGAACTAACGAACGAAACGAACGAACGAACGAACGAACGAAACGAACGAACGAACGAACGAACGAACGAACTAAACGAACGAACGAAAACGAACGAACGAACGAACGAAAAACGAACGAACGAACGAACGAACGAAACGAACGAACGAACGAACGAACGAACGAACGAACGAAACGAACTAACGAACGAACGAAAACGAACGAACGAACGAACGAAACGAACGAACGAACGAACGAAACGAAAGAACGAACGAACGAACGAACGAACGAACGAACGAACGAAAACGAACGAACGAACGAACGAACGAACGAAACGAACGAACGAACGAACGAACGAACGAACGAACAAACGAACGAACGAACGAACTAACGAACGAACGAACGAACGAACGAACGAACGAACGAACGAACGAACGAACGAAACGAACGAACGAACGAACGAACGAACGAACGAACGAACGAACGAACTAACGAACGAACGAACGAACGAACGAACGAACGAACGAACGAACGAACGAACGAACGAACGAACGAACGAACGAACAACTGAACGAACGAACGAAGAACGAACGAACGAACGACGAACGAACGAACGAACGAACAACGAACGAACGAACGAACGAACGAACGAACGAACAACGAACGAACGAACTAACGAACGAACGAAACTAACTAAAAACGAACGAACGAACGAACGAACGAACGAACGAACGAACGAACTAAAACTGAACGAAACGAACGAACGAACTAACGAAAGAAACGAACGAACGAAGAACGAAACTAACGAACGAACGAACAACTAACTAACTAACGAACGAAACGAACGAACGAACTAACGAACGAAACGAACGAACTAACTAAAGAACGAACGAAACTAACAACGAACGAACGAAAACTAACTAACGAACTACGAACGAACTAACTAACGAACTAACTAACGACTAACGAACTACTACTACTAACACTAAAAACCCTAAAAACTACTAACTACTAACTACTAACTAACTAACTAACTACTACTCCTAACTAACTAACTACTACCTAATAACTAACTACCTCACTACTAACTAACTACCTACTAAACTACTAATAACTACTAACCATACTACTAACAACTAACTAACTAACTAACTAACTAACTAAAACTTAACGAACTAACTAACTAAACTAACTAACTAACTAACTAAAACTAACTAACTAACTACCTAACTAACTACTACTAACTAACTAACTAACTAACTAACTAACTAACTAACTAACTAACTAACTAACTAACTAACAACTAACTAACTACTACTAACTAACTAACTAACTAACTAACTAACTAACTAACTAACTAACTAACTACTAACTAACTAACAACTAACTAACTAACTAACTACTATACTAACTAACTACTAACTAACTAACTAACTAACTACTAACTAACTAACTAACTAACTAACTAACTAACTAACTAACTAACTAACTACTACCTACCTAACTAACTACTACTAACTAACTAACTAACTAACTAACTAACTAACTACACTAACTAACTAACTAACTACCTAACTCACTACTACTAACTAACCTAACTAACTAACTAACTAACTAACATAACTAACTAACTAACTACCGAACTAACTAACTAACTAACTAACTACTAACTACTAACTAACTAACTAACTAACTAACTACTAACTAACTAAACTAACTACCTAACTTCAGTCAGAAGAAACTACACTAATTTACTCTGTACAACACCACAAGTCGACCTAGTCAGTTTGATTTACTTATAGTGAAAGATTCTTTGAAATCCTCTATAAATCTTCTATCCCCCCTCAAGAAAATAGTGGCGCCAAGGAGAAGTACTCCACGCCAAACTAACTTATTCAAGTTAGAAACATAAAATCAAATAAATGTTTTTCTTCTACGCCAATTTTTTATTCTTTTTCGCATTTTATTTTTTTTCTCATAGAATTCGCATAATACAAAAAGAAAAAGGCAAAATAACACAGACGTGCCCCATCGGTTTTTTTTCTGATATTTTTCAAAATTTTTTCTCTAGGAAATTTATATTTGCATGTAGTATTTGTTGTGTTGAGGGGGGGGGGGGGTTGGTTAAGGATTGAGAGGTTGTGTGAGAGAGTGTATCTTTTCGTTTTTCATTCAATAAAACATAGAGTCGTTTATGGTTAAAAACGAACCAACAACGACTAAGTTACGAGTGTTTAGCCGAATGATTCAACAAGAAAACGACAGGATATGTATGTTGTATGTGTAAGTGTGTGTGTATGAGTACAAGAAAGCAGCCAGGCAGGCATCTCTTAATGGATGGTGAAGCAAAAAGCAAAGTAAAACCGAACCGAACAGAACAGAACAGACCACAAGCGTTGAGTATTTGATGGGTTTCAATAAAATTGGTTTCAGTTTTCAGTTGACTGTGAAATAAATCGGTTTAAATAGAAAAAAAAGAAAATTAAAAAATTATTAAAAATTTTTTAAATTTAATATTTCTAATTAAAACGTGTTGTGGAAAAGCGTGAAAGATTTTTTTTTTGAAACTAATTAAGTGAAATTGCAATAATAGTTGTTTTTTACGGAAAAAAGCCTTATTTTTATATTAAAAATTACTAAAATTAATAATATTTAGAAAAATCTTAAAAAAAGTAATTATTTAAAATTAAAAAAAAAAGAAAAATGTCTTTAAATTTATTAAAACGTAATTTAGTTTTAACGGTTTTCCTATTAGTGCAGTTCATTGCAAATGGTTGGTAAAAGTTTAATTTAAAAAAAAAATAATAAAAATTATTAAAATAATAATAATTGAAATATTTATCTTCAATAATTTGTATAATTTTTTCTTATATTTATTGTGTGTTAACAAAAAAAATTAAATATCTTATTTCTGATGATGAAAATAATGTGTTTTATTGTAACTGCTGCTGCGGCTTCTGGTGTGAATTGCTGGCAAATGCATGACTGCCTGTCAATTTCTGTGTTACAAAAATATTCCAAAAATATAAAATATTAAAAAAATCAACTGCAACCATTCAACCATATCAGGTTCTGCTATAAAGTGCTTTGTCTGCGATTCCAGTGATAATCCCAGTTGTGCAGATATTGAATCAAACAGCAGCATTGTGGCAGAGGTGAGTTTTTACCATTTACATACCATCAGTGTTTTAAAGATTTGTTTTAAGCAGGATTTTCTTTTTTGGTTTTTTGTTGAGAGATTTTATTCTGAATTTTAAGTTTTATCTTTTTTTTTTTGCCAGTTACCTCATAAGTGGTATTTAATGATAAAACTTAAGGGATTTTATTTGGTTTAGCGGAGAAAAGAAAGTTAAGTTGGTATTAAAATAATTGTTAGTATTTAGCTGTATTTAGTTAGAGGTTTATAAAAAGTTTGGAAAACAATTTAAAACAAAAACTATTTTTAAAACATTTGGGAATTTTGAGGAATGTTCCTTTTTCTAGTCTGTTAAGTCAATGAACAGAGTAATTTCATATTTTAGCTTAAAATATCTCAAAGAAGTCATAGCGCTGTTATAACATCTTAAATAAGGGAGGAAATGGGTTCCTTTTCAAAAGCTAAAATATCTCTAAAAACTGTTATGATGAAGTTATACTGAATCAGATTCAGTGCCTTTAGAAAGATATATATATATTAGTTCCTGGGTTTTGACTTTTTATACCCTATACCACTTTATAGGATTTGTGCTGATGTTTGTAACGCATAGAATTAATGGTCCAATACCCACCTTTAAAATACCAATCTGCTCAGAATCATTTTCTGAGCCATGTCCGTCCGTCCGTCCGTCTGTCTGTCTGTCTGTCTGTCTGTCTGTCTGTCTGTCCATCTGTCTGTCTGTCCATGTAAACATTGTAATCAAACTACAGGTTGCAACTTTGATAATTGGATGAAATTTGGTACACACAATACTTTATTTTTGCAGCCCAAGGACGAACCCTATTGATTTTGGTTGATATCGGTTCATTATTTCACGTAGCCCCCATATAACCGGACCCCCTAAGTTCTTTATGTGAACATTTTATGTGAACATCTGCCGTGTTGACCTTATTTAACAGTGGTACTTTTACAACCAATGGGTGAGCTGTTAGATCAAAGCCTCTTACACGATTCTTACATGATTCTGTTGATATGTATATGTACAAGTCCTTTGCTCAAGCACTCGAACAGTAGCTTCGAGATGCAAAAACATCACTTCCGTTTGCAACTACGCAGATTAGATGCCCTCTGTTCATTCGGCAACAGTACCAAGAGACATAATCGGTAGACTGAAATACGAATACATCAAATAAATAAACAAAACGCAAGTTCTTACTCTCAGAGAACTCGCTGTGGCAAGTCAGATAAGTGGAGAGCTAAGTCTAAATACACCTTGACAAAGAAGGAAATATTTATGGTATCATACATTACCATTCAACCGAGCACACTTCTCATTCATACCACCGAATCAAGATACAACATCCGACACATTCCTACGAATATATGGGTATGGCTAGGTTCATATACCCCTAATTCATTACGTATTTTATTCATTTAACACCAAAACATTTCTAGCTTATGCCCCACAGTAACTCCTCTAAGGGACAACTCTGGAACAACAGTTATCCCGAAATATAGACTTCAATGTACATAGGAATCTTTACCATAGGAATCTCTCTAATAACCCGGATAAAACAAAGTCCGAAACTCTGACCCGTGGGGCTACCGGTTGGCAAGATACCAGATTATATAGCTCTCTGGTTCGAGCCCAGGTCAAATCATGCCAAGGAAAAGGCGACGATAGATAGGGGAAGATCATTAAGGTAATATGGGGGTGTAATCAAACTACAGAGTACTCGTTTCGAGCGTTTTGCATCGATTGAAACACATAATAGTCGGACGGTAAAAGGTCTGGAGACAAATTTTCTCTACCACTTTTTTCAAAGAGATTTTAACAGATATTGCAACAGGTGACCAGGTTTTTTCATGATCAAATATTACTCTTTCAGATCTGCCTTAAACATTCTGTACACATTCTCTATGCTGATATGGTCAGATATCGGCAGCTCATAATAAATACGATATTTTAGTGCCACCAAATACAGAGCATTACATTAGCGCCATTTATATAAGTACGATCTCACTCAAAAACAAGTAAGAAAGTAACGTCGGGCGTAGCCGACCATAGGATACCCTACACTAGTTATGAATATTAAATGTGATTTATTTTTCATAATAAAGCATTTATCTGGAATATTACCTTGATTCCGTTTTATTTAAGCAAATCGAAATTAACGAAAAACTAATTTTCTGGAAGAGGCTTTTTATGGGGGATAGGAGCAAAATGGACCGTTCCCAATAAAATGGGCTAAATAGATTTATATTTATATAATATTTGTCTGTGCTAAATTTCATTGCAATAACAGTCACTTTCTGAAGGGGCTTTGTATGGGGGCTAGGGTCAAATGAGGTCCGATCATTTCGAAATTCGGCAAGGTCATCAAGGCTTGTATAAAACTATTTTATCGAGATACATTTATATTATACATAATTATGAGCTCAAAAGCCCTTTTCGGGGGCTTCAGTTGTATGGGGGCTAGGTGAAATAATAAACCGATTTTAAATATTTTCAATAGGTTTCGTCCTTGGTTCAAAGGAAACGTGTATTCCAATTTTCATCAAATTATCCTGAAATTTGCGACTTGTACAACGTTTATATAGACACACGTACGGTCGGAAGGGCGGACATCGTTAAATCGACTCAGAAAGTGATTCTGAGTCAATCGGTGTACTTTAAGGTGGTGCGTTACAAACAACAGCAGAAACGCATAATAACCTTCCCACTATAGTGGTGTAGGGTATAAATAGAGGAAAATAAGAAGTTAGAAGGTAATAAAAAGTTACAAATCTTCTAAACGGTTAGTTCGATTTGAATGATTTTAAGTATTGTGAAGTTTTAAATTTTGATTTTGGATCTATTGGGACCGTTTGTGTTAAGATTTCGAAAAAATTACATATATAAAATTTGCACGTACTACAAAATACTCATTCCGTTTGTAATTTCTTATAGGGGCAGAAATATAATTTTTTCGGACCTCAGCGATAGCGGAGTCGATTAAGCCATTTGTGTCTGTCTGTCCCTCTGCATGTTTGGTAAAATCAATTTTCTGAAGAGCACAGATATCTTTAGAACCAAATCATCAAAAATTTTGTATAAATTAGGTTTTTTTGCATGAGTTATATCACTCTTTTATTAAATAAATATGCAATTCCTAATCAGATCATTTTAAAAATTTCAAATTACTGACAATTTAAATAACTTTTCATTAAATATGTCTTTTCAATTGTCAATTCAACAGTGTAAGTAAGTACACATGTCCTCATTTAAAAATTCATTTATAATTTACATTTCAACGAACAAATTCTATAGATAGAAACTTGATTTGAAATTCAATATTTAAATTACAATAAAATAAATTTTCAATATGAATGTGAATGCTCCTTCGCTCAGACGTTGAAATTGAATGCGTTGCCTTTTTTAATGTTCCATTACAAGTACGTAGTTTCTTTGTATATGAACATGCATACATGCAAAAAACGCTTTCATTTCAATAACAATTGAAAAATCATTTACTTTTGTATTTCAAGCGTAGTCAACACGATTGTTAACGTATAAACCCAGTTAACATTGAGAGATCGGTAAGAATATTTACAACTTTTTATAAGAAAATTAGAATAAAAATTCTCCGAAAGGATTATTTGCAAATTTCTATAAATCGTACGATAGTTTTAGCAAGGTCTTTTAAGGCGTTTTTGCTAGTGTTTTACTATATCCATCTAAAGATGATGTCCCTTTAGAGACTGCAACCTATTTCACAAAAATGGTCTTTAAGATTTTTCAAATATTTTTTTAAAATTTTGAAATATTCATCGTTTTGTTTATTGGGTGGTTTCTGCTTATGTGTAGGAAATGACATATTCCATTATAAATTTGTTTGTACTTATTTAACAGTCAACCTGTTTGTAATAGAATTTTTGTCAGGTTCGATGTTTTTTCTTTCATTATTATTTTGTACTTTAAGTGTGTGATTGATAGTGCCGATAATATCAATATAAAGTAGAAGGTATAAAAAGACACTTGTCTTCAAGATAAATTGCTTGCCACTAAATTATAAAGTTCATGTTTAAATCGTTTATCATAAAATTATTACTTTAAAACAAGTGAAACTCGATTATATGATAATCGACCAAAAGTAGGCACCATACGAGAGCTATTGTTAAATATGATATGATTTTTTCACAACGTGAACTATAGACTATTCTCTAGTCTCGAGTATAAACTATTCTAGGGTCTATAAACTATTCCATTCTCGATTGTGGACTACTCTATAGTCCCGACTATAGACTATTACATAGTCTCTAATATAGACTATAGACTATTCTGTAGTCTTGACTATAGACTATTCTATAGTCTTCACTATGAACAATTCTATAGTCTAGACTTTAGACTATTCTATAATCTTGACTATAGACTACTCTATAGTCTTGACTATAGACTACTCTATGGACAATTCTATAGTCCTGACTATGGACAATTCTATAGTCTCGACTTTAGACTATTCTATAGTCTTGACTATAGACTAATCTATAGTCTTGACTATAGACCATTCTATAGTCTTGACTATAGACAATTCTATAGTCTTGATTATGGACAAATCCATAGTCTTGACTATAGACTATTCTATAGTCTTGACTATGGACAATTCTATAGTCTCGACTTTAGACTATTCTATAATCTTGACTATAGACTACTCTATAGTCTTGACTATAGACTACTTGACTATGGACAATTCTATAGTCTCGACTTTAGACTATTCTATAGTCTTGACTATAGACTAATCTATAGTCTTGACTATAGACCATTCTATAGTCTTGATTATAGACCATTCTATAGCCTGGACTATAGACTATTCTATAGTCTTGACTACAGACTATTCTATAGCCTTGACTATAGACTAATCTATAGTCTTGACTATGGACAATTCTATAGTCTTGATTATGGACAAATCCATAGTCTTGATTATGGACAAATCCATAGTCTTGACTATGGACAAATCTTGACTATAGACTATTCTATAT